AGGTGACTATTGAAACTTCAGAACCAAGTTGTAAATATCTTTATGGGCCCCTGATATAGCTTCAACTGATTGCTGAGCAATCAACCACAAGTTAAGGACATCTGTACACATATTTACTTAATAATGGATGCATTTATTAAAATATCTTATCAGGCAGCCAGTAAGGAAGCCTAAATAATCACCATACCACATTATTCCTGAAAGAATCCCTGTGTATATATATCTGCCATTCGCAGCTTAGTAAGAGTGGTATTTTTATAAATGCAACTAAACGACGAGGAACTGCTTAAGAAATGACTTCAGCTTAATAGGAGCTGAAGTTGGAGTTTAACTTCTCGCCTCAAAACAGCTGCTTTGTATTCTCCCACATGACTTATCCGATCGCATCAAAAATGCCGGCTGAGAGCGCGCGATTGACATCATTGTTATTGTGAGAGAGAAAGGCGGAGTCTCGAGACCAGCAACGTACAACCGAAAGGAACCATGGGGAACGTCTCTAATTTCTACCATAGAGTTACCACGGGCTAGCACGACTTGTCACTTTACAGACCATAGCGACTCCCGGCGCTTTCCTGGCATTATCGGATGTTGAGTGACTGTGCTTCCCTTTCCCGCGTCTTTTCTCCTAGAGCATGCTGGGAAATGTTCTTAAAGAAAACCGTCTTCCGTTTTATTGGTCTTTCCTGTGCAGCGCTTGGCAACGTGGTAAGTCTCGGCGGGGGCTGTTAGAGAGAATGCAAATAATCAGCGTCGGTTGGTTTTATTTAATTCTTTTAAAAAGAAAAAAATCGGTGGTATTGTGTTACATACGTTAGATTTTTGTGAACACGGAAAGCTAAAACAACACCCTAGGACTACCAGTCATAGCTATGACATGGTGGAAAAGATATTTTTTTAAAATTATTTAAATGAGATCAATTAAAAATTAAATATTGCGCTTCTGTAGAAAAAGAAATAACGATGGCCAAAATAGTGGGTTTTCAGGACGATTTCCAAGATTCAGCGTAAACCTGGAGCAGCGTAGTTTTGCACACAAAAGTTTTATATCTTTCCTTTCAAACCAAAACATGAACAATAGTCCTGCTTTTCTACTGCTTTTGACAAAAACTGGTTTCTATTTTTGCTCTGCTTCTTTTGAACGCTGCAACCAATAAGACATTCATAATATGTACCATGATTACAGGTGGAATTCATCTACTAGGCTGAAAGTCTTTTTAGCAAGAAATTATTTGTGATCGAGACTAAGAGTCACATCTAGATGCCATCAGTCATCATGGTGTGCTATAGTCCTCGAAGAATAATAACTTACCTTTATTCACTGACTCTGTGATTCATTAGCAGAGCCAGCTGCCAGGTTGGTAACAGATATGAATTATAACAAACTTGCACTGTATTGCTGGGAATAGGAGATACTTTCTGATGAAAGTAGTATACACTTAAAATGTAAAAACAAAATGGAGAGCAAAAAGGACAGGCCTATTTTGCTTTCTAAAAAAAACCAGTTCTCCAAAAAGGGAATAAAATACTAGAACTACTTCAGTTATGTTATTTGTAAATGTAAATAAATTATTTAAAAAAGCTATTGCTTGGTAGTGAGGTAACCGGATTGTGTTCCAAAATGGGCTTGACCCATACCTGAAATTATGCCCCAAAATATGGATAGTTTCTATAGATTCTATGAGCGATTAAAATTATTTCAGATGTTTTCAAATAGGCATTGATTTTGATTTTTTTTTAACGTACTGTAGTTAGAAAATTTAAAAATTATCAGTGAATCAGGATTTGCCTACTTATATGTTTGCATAGAATTCTCCATAGAATTACAGAATCTAGATCAGGGGTCTCCAACCTTGGCCACTTTAAGACTTGTGGACTTCAACTCTCAGAATTCCTCGGCCAGCTAATGCTGAGGAATTCTGGGAGTTGAAGTCCACAAGTCTTAAAGTGGCTACGGTTGAAGACCCCTGATCTAGATTGCCTTATGTATTTCTGTAGATATTAGCATATCAGGTTTTGTTAGATTTGTTACATTGTTTAGCAAACAGTATGAAATCTGATTGCAATACCTTTTCTTTCCATAGAGCTAGAGTTGCATTGCAATATATTTTGCTATGCTATGATTCCTGTAGGAAGACTACTAATCTTAATACATTGCCACCCCCTTCAGCAGTCTCATCCAGCGCCACTAGTGCCACTGAGAAATGCCACCCAATTCCCCACACCAGCCAACCACAGTACAATCATTGTGCAAAACCCCAGTTGCCCCACCACTATGTTCTCCAGAAGTTCTTGATGCCTAGCTTTACTTTCCCATTAACCCAACCATTTTTCTCCTGCCTGCTCATGAGGCATGCCCTATTTGGACAAAGAGTGGACCATGTGACTTGGGAGAAGTAGCCTCAGGAGGAAGACCTGGTGTAGCCAGCTACAAACTGATAGACACAATAGCCTGATTATATATTGGTAAATTGATAGATTGAATACTGACTTTTGATATATTTTTTTCCCAGGGTTACTACAGAATCGGTGAAAAGAAGGTGTTTTAGTAATTGACTACAGAATTTATCTGCTGCTGACAAACTGATGTACAGTATTTCAAAGTTTTATATTCCAATAAAGATATATAAAAATTGAAGATTGATTTCTGCTTAATTATTTGGGCATCAGATTCTGAAAGGTGAAATGAAATTTCCATGTTCTACAACTTTAGTTGTCAATATCCTGTTTTATTTATAAAGTAAGATGATGTTTAAGACGTTATTATTTATTTATTTATTATGGAGAACCAGTCTGGTGTAGCAGTTGAAGGCATCAGGCTAGAAACTGAGACCATGTACCCCTTCAGGCACAAAGCAAACTGGGTTGGCCTCGGACCAATTTCTCTCCTTCAGCTCTAGAAAGGAGGCGGTGAGGAATAGATAGAAGAAACTGCAAAGTTCAAAGTTTATAAAAATATATCCCACAATGGTTCCCCTGAAATTAGTATTTAGAAATGCGCTTGGCAGGCGGGTGCGAACCCGCGGCTCACTTTCCCGGCTCTGCCCAGCCCGCCCGGCTCTGGTGCGGCCCTGGCAGGATGAGCCCAGGGCCCAGCGGGGAGGCGCTCGCTGCCTTGGCCAGAGCTCTGCCGCCAGGCAGGAGGGCCCGCCTGTCAGCTGTGCTGGGCGCCCCAGGTGAAGCTCTTCGCGCTCTGCCTGGTGCCAGGCAGAAATGGTGGCTGGGTGCTTCTCCCGGGGTGAGCCAATCCTGCACTGCGGCCCCGGGAGATTTGCCTCCCCACGTGGGGTTGGGCTGCCCTCTCAGGCAGGGGAGGCTTTGTAGTAGGGCGTCATTTTTAAAAGAATGGGCTTTGCCTTCGAACGATGCCCGGGAAGGCGGCGACAGGAGTGCCTGAAGCTGAATGTCTCCGCTGGGCTCCGGTTGCAGGAAGCCCTGGCTGGCCGCACATGGCTGCACCAAATGCCACAGCTTTGCTCTAAATGCCGCGGCAGCACGGGGAGAAGGGAAAGCAACAGTGGCGGAAGTTCTCCCGATACGAAGTGCCCCACCAACGCCGAGGTCAACGCAGGCAGCACCATATCCGAGTGTGCAACAAAAGTACTTCCTAACGGCAAGCTCCCCAACCATTTTGCATGTTTTAATATAGGCCTTAAATTGGGGGGAGGGGCTTAATTTCATTTCATGCCTATAAAACATATTGGGACTTCCTATTGGGGAGGCTGTATTGTTGGAGAAACACGGTAGTGTCCATACAAGCCTGAAATCGTAGCTAATCAGAAGTCAGTAATGTTACACTAATTGCAAAAAGACAAGTTTTTTTTCCATCAGTAGAATTATTTTAAAGTTATAGAAAATTAATTGCCCTTTGTATTCTGCACTGGTCATCACCTGTAGTATTCTTACATTCTGGGCACATCACATTGGATCCATATCACTAATAACCTAGTTGTATTTTCCTAATGGTCTGTCAAGTTACCAACTGGTTAAAAATTATTTGGGGGAATAATATGCAACCCCTTTGACCAGAAAGTGCTAATATCCCAAGTCATTATATATTTGTTTTCTTAATCTGCTACAGATCACACAGCATTTATATTTTCTCACAAACTTTTGTTATAACATTCCTATTCCTTAGCAATTCTATGCTTGTTTCTATTTCCTGTCTTAATCTACAATCTTCCTATTAACATAAATTTACAACTTTATGTTCTACATCAACATTCCTGTTTCTAGTTCTGTCTTAACTTTTTCAGTCTTTCCTTTTCTCCCTACCAAGTCCAGTTCTTGCAATAGCCAATCTCAGTCCATTTGAATGTGAAAATGCTTTTTTGCTCTTCTGGCCTTGTGAATATTCTCTCTTCCACCACCACCCCATCTCTGCCTTTTCAGGAATAGATTTGTCAATTCTGATTCTGAGTTGCTACACACTAGGCTTGCAGGCTGATTCAGACTCTTGCTCTTCCCACTCAGCTCCCTCAGCTAGTCTTGCCATTTTCTTTTGCTGTAGAAAGATTGCTGCTGAGATATTGCCTTTGTGTTCTTTTCCTTTTCTGTCATCTCCTGGGCTTGACTCCTTTCTTGCTTTCTGTTCCATTGTGAGAAGTCTCCAATTAAAGATGGTGGTGTCATTTCAACCCTCCTTCCCATGTAGCACCAAAATCCAATCCCAGGAGAAATGTCTGCTCGTTCTGAGTGGTGTGTTCATTCTTGCACACCTCACTAGCTTCTTCCCCATTAACTAGGCAGATCGAGGTGGCTACAGCTGTACAAGACATTTGATTTGCCTTGGGTGCAGTTTTGCATTTGTAATACTTACTTTTTCAGCTTTTTCTCTAAGGGATAGATTTAATTCTACCCAACACTGTCAACATAGGGTTTAAGATAAATTGGGGATGTCCTCTACTGCCACAAAACATATAATATTCAGAATAAAATAGCAATGGATAATTGGAATTGGAATAAAATCCCATGTTAAAGTGGGTAATTGTTTTTATTTAGAAAAGATTGTGATGCAAATACATTTAAGTTCTAGGGACAATATATATAAATGACTGGCCAATTTTCTATTATCCCACATGCAAGATAATTAACATGGAATATTCTGCTCTAAGCACTAGGAAAAGTCCTAATTATAATTTTGATAGTGGAATCAATTAACTAGGGAGGTGGTGGTTTCCTAGTTCATCAATGAGAACTCAAATCTGGAAATTGGATTCGTGGCCTAAATGTCATCTTTCAGGTCTACATTTCTTCTCAAAATCAACTTTTTAGTATTGAATATAATTGAGAGAATATTCAGATGAAAAATCATTCCAACATTTGAAAGTTTATTCATGCCTGAGACTCGAGTTTGCATACATATATAAACTTTATGCTACTAGAACACAGGCTCCTCCAACTTCCTTGATTTTTTCTTCTGCTCTTCGGCTGAAGAATTTTGCTTTCACAATGACAGGCTGCTTGGGCAGCTTTCCTTTGCCCAGGACTTTGTAATACCCCTGAAAAATATCAAAACAAAAGTTAACATGTAGTCTCTTGAAGTCATTACTCATGGTGTCAATAAAATTAATGGACAGGTTTTTAAAATATTGTATATCAATTCTTATAATTGATATCTTTATGGATTTATTGGGAGGGGGAAGTATTGATCAGCAGTTCTCTTTAGTTTGTGTATACAATTTATTGGAAGGTTGGCAGTCCAAGATCAAAGCACTACTAACAGAGTTAAGTTCCCATTTTGCCCCAGCTCCTGTCCACCTAAGAGTTCGGAAGCAAGAAAATGCAAGTAGATAAATAGGTGCCCCTTCAGTGGGAAGGTGTACCTTGGCATATAGTCATGGACCATAAAATAGTCTTTGACAATGCTTGTTCCCTCATCTAGGAAATACCAGGTGAGCACTGCCCCCTAGAGTTGGAGACAACTTGACAAGGGAAACCTTTGTCTTTTAAAGCAGGGGTCCTCAACCACCAGTCCGCGGACCGGTACCGGTCCGCGGAACAACTCCTACCGGGCCGCTGGCTTGCTGGGCGCCGCCATCTTTTTTTGATGAAAAAGTGCTTCCGGTGAGCTTTTCCGGGTAGAAAGCTCACCGGAAGCACGTTTTCATCAAAAAAAGATGGCGGCGCCCAGCTGATGCCGGTACCGGGCCGCGGCGCCCAGCTGATGCCGGTACCGGGCCGCGGTGTCAAAAAGGTTGGGGATCACTGTTTTAAAGCATAATTGTATTTGAATAAGAGTGTACTGTTTCTCATTTTACCCAGTTTCATTTTTGTTGAAGATGACTATTATAGCCCCAAGTTTGAATTCTCATCAAAATCTCGAAAAATATTTACATTTCAATTTGTAAAATCATATAATCTCTAAAGTAAAATAGAGATGTTTGGATCTGGATGGACTTCGCCTTAATCAAGACTGAGTGGGCTATGGCTGTTTGCCCCACTTCCCCCAGGGTTGAGGATATTTTTATCACTGGTATTGGATGGATAAGTTACTCTTCTCCATTTAAGACTGATGCACAACTTGGGTGGTCCTCTTGGATTCACAGCTTTTGCTTAATGGCAGCTATGGCCAGAAGGTCCTTTACATTAGTCTATCTTGTGCACTGGATGTACCCTTCCCTCAACCAGCAGGCCCTTCAGACAGTCACTTACTTATGCCTCTGTCAGTTCACAACAGGACTGTTACAATGTGGGACTGCCCTGGAAGATCACCCAGAACCTAAAGCTACCGTATTTGCCGGCGTATAAGACGACTGGGCGTATAAGACGACCCCCAACATTTCCACTCAAAATATAGAGTTTGTTATATACTCGCCGTATAAGACTACCCCCTCTTCCACACACCTTCCACTTTTGCACTTTTTTTTTTTTTTTGACGCACTTTTCTGCTTTGGACAATTTTGAAATGAGCTAATCCAATTTTGAACCAAGAATATGCAAATAGCTATGGAGTTTAGAAATGAGTTTTAAAAATATTTTTCATTGCTTACCATTAAGCGTAAAATATGTTGTAAATAAAATGAGAACACAGGAAACGTTCTCTTCTCAATACAGCTGATCTCTCTCTCTCTCTCTCTCTCTCTCTCACACACACACACACACACCAAAAACCCGGACACTGAAAAGGCTGCCAAGGAACAGTATATTCAATGCCTTCTCTTTAATCAAGAAACAAGGAATTCCTTAGAATCTTTTTTTTTCCCCAAGTGGCCCTCTTTAAAAAAAAAAATGGAGGTAACACTTTCATTCAAAAAGTCTTCCAGTATCTGGAGTCGCTCAGACATATTGAAGTGAGGCAGGAGAGTAAGTGAAATTTGAAATGATCCAGCTACCGTTTTCTTCCCCTCCCGCCCGAAGGCCATTATCTCCACGTCAAAACGAACGAGGGGAGGCAAAGAAGCCAAACACGCTAAAAAGGATCTCTTTATTTTCCTACACAAGGTCACACCTACTTTTCCGCATTCAAAGGACAACCTCTCCTCACCACCACCACACACACACACACACACACACACACCCCAATACCCGCAAACAATGTTCTGGGCATTAATCACCATTGCTACATTAACCTGGTAAATTTATACCCTGCCTCCCCCAGTGTTGCTTTGACGGCAGGATTTCACACAGCGGGGCGCTCGCTCGCTCTCTTCTCCGCTCTCCCACCGTTCGCACATGTTGGAAGCACCGTAAAACCTGATAACCCACCCGGGGGCTCCCCCATCCTTAACCTACAGCCGTCCGCATGCAAAACCTGCGTGCAAAAAGAAAAAAAGAAAAAGAAAAGTACGCCGCACGTGAGGATCTTCGAATCCTCTCCTCCCCACACCGCTAAGGAAGGAAGAGGGGGAAAGGTTGCGCAGCGCGTGGCGAGTGACACCCGCCACACACACACACACACACCGCTCCCCCCCCCAGCCTCCCTCCCGGCTGCAACTCAAGCTCGAAGTGGGAGTCGGAGTCCTCCCGGCGTATAAGACGACCCCCCCCACTTGGAGGCATGTTTTTCAGGGCAAAAAAGTCGTCTTATACGCCGGCAAATACGGTAGTTCAAAATGCAGTGGTAACACTGCCTATGTCATCACTGCTATGTGAGCTGCATTGGCTGCCATATGGATCTGGGTGCAATTTATGCTTGTTACCTATAAATCCATTCCTAACACGGGGCCTGTTATCCTAGTTAACAGGCCCCCATTTGTCTCGATATGTTTGGGTACAGCAAGTGCATTCAAGGTCTCCTCTATTAAATATTGTCATCTTGTGGGACAAGTAAGTGTGCTTTCCCTGTTGCTGCCTCGTCCTCCAGAATATCCCCCGAAATATACATCCAGTGCTCACTCTCCTGGCTATAGAAGAATGTTAAGATCTGGTTCTGTTCCAAGGCCTGGGATAAGTGTGTGTGTGTTTTTGTGTGTGTGTGTGTGTGTGTGGTGGGGGGAGATGTCATATTTGTATTGCTTTGTTTTTAGTTCAGGCTATAAGCTGCTCATTTACTGGAATGGGAAAACATAATATATAGGAATTTTCAAAAAACAGATGACACCACTTACAGAGCGTACAACATCAATAACTGGAGCTAGTCCTGCTGGATTTTTAGCATAATTCAGCCTTGTCTGCTCACTAACAAGCGTCCAGAGCTTATCCAGATTCACTGTTGGGCAGAAGTGCTGGTTTTTTTTCAAGTGGTAATGTCTCATACCAACCTTTCCAAAATAACCAGGGTGGCTAGAGAAAAAAAATTGCATGCAAAGTAAATTTACTGGCCAATGCATTATGATACTCACAGGTAACCTTAACTAGAAAATACAAAAGACATCCATCCATCATCTAATTTATTGGCACCCGGCTTAGCACAGGGTATTCTATAATATATAGAAGAAATCCCTTTTGTCTTCAGTTCATGACTTAAATGTCATAATAAAGCTTGTAAAATCTTCAACACATAAAATCTAATTAATTATATTAATATGGTTATTACAAACTTATTTCCTGTACTCGATGCTATTCCCCTCCATCTACTATGCCTAGATGCCATTCCTACTTCCAAGTAGAAATACCAGGGTCCATCAATAGCTAGTTACATCATTTCGTTTTAGAAAATATGTAATTTCTTAACCATTCAGAACCTTCTGTTACTAACCCTGGTGGCTGACTGTGTTGGGAAAGAGACAGACAGTGAATAAAGGTCAGTTGTTACTCTCTGAGTACAATAGCACACCATGATCACTGGCAGTACCAAGATGTGACTCTAGTCTCAGCTATTTGTAAGTTACTTCTGACAATAAATTATAAATGACAACTGCGATCCTAAACCTTTTATTAAAGTTTTATTAAAACAATTATAGATGTGATGAACTGCGCAATTTCTATCACCTGGCCAGAAAACTCAAATAATGAGTAAATATCATAGCACTGTGTACAGCTTTGTTTCAGTAAATAGGTAACAAAATATATCCAGGATATGAAAGCTGATCTTGGTTCATAATGTAGATCTGCTCTTTGTATTCAGAAAACTAAAAAAGGCTGTTATGGGATAAAAAGGGAAAGGAGCTTACTATTTGTCAAAGTTAATTCTATGGTGGTGCATACCGCCAGCATTTCCGCGGCCTCCTGGATGTTTTCTGTGTTTGCCTATGACAAACAACAAAAGTTATTAATTGGAATTTGGTCTAGAAAAGTTATTCAGTCTAGAATACTACTTAATTTGTTGATTTTAGCCTTCTTTTAATGCCGGAGTGTCCAACCTTGGCAATATTTAAGATTTCCAATGCTTGCTGGGGAATTCTGGAAGTTTAAGTCTACAAGTCTTAAAAGTTGCCACGGTTGGACACACATTTGTTTTAATATAATAATTACCATTTAAGTTTCATTCCAATAAATCATGTAGATACTTTGAATCTGCACTGATAACACAGCAATCACTGTCACAGATGTGAAGACTTGGAATATCTAGACAGAACTGTTTTTGTGTCTTGCCTTTGAGATTATTAATCCTTCTTCAGAGAAGATAGTACAAAGGCGAGATACGTCGCATGAAGATGTTATGCAAGCCAATCTACATCAGTAGTCAAATCCAACATGAATCTTGACAGCCAAAGATGGAAGCTTGTGGTCTCTTGGAAGTTACAGTGTTGTCAGTATAGATAATAGATAATTCTACCAATTCAACAGCCTCTCGAAAAGGAATTTTTTTTATTTTGATCTAGATGATATTGACATCTTCAGTAAGAGAAGCTTAACTGTGAATTATTCCTTGCTTTTTGGCAACCTCTGCTCTAATTTTCATATACTAAAAGCAAGCATCATATATCTGCTGTTCTCTATGTGTATATAAAACTGTAGCAGCAACTTTATTTACCTAATTATACTGCATTAATTGCACTAATTTTCAGGACTGCAATCTAAAACAACCTTCTGATGTAGTTTGGTAAGTTATTATTTGACTACTGAGTAAATATTTTCATGATTAAAAATGTCTCTCCACTAAATAGTATTTTGTATTGCAGACAAAATCAGAAACTACTACTACTGCAATAAAAATATTATAAGGCAGAAAAACATTCATCTCAATTTAAAACACCACAACTCTCAAGACAATACATTCTGAACACGAACAAAATATCCTACATCAGAAGCAAAACAAGGGGCAAATCTGCTTTTTCAAAGGAAGAAATCAAAGACCGACAATGATCCATATTTTGAGTGTTCTCCACCCTAATATTTTTAGATGATAGCAATAGCTAATGGGGCATTTGATACGTCACAAATTTAAGCACATTCATATGACATCTCACCCTCAGTAAATTTCATAATTTTCCCATACAAGGAATTATTACTGTGCATTGTTTAGCCAAAGTAATAATATAAAAAACATTCAAAAAGTGTGTGTGTTTCCCAGGATTTCCAATTTTATAGCATAAGGGAAACAAAATCTGTATTTTCAAAATTTCCAAAACGTTTATATCACTAGTGCTTACCAATACGGCCATGGCCATGACTGACGTGCCCCCTTAGTTTCCTTGTCTTCCTCAGTCTGGAAGGCTTTAAAAATATAAAAAACAAATTTGGTTATAATAAATGCACCCTATTTCTTGAAAAATCCCCCCCCCCTTTCCTTCGTCCATCTCTGCGGAAGGTTTTCAACAATCTCTATTTATACAAAAAACAAGATTTTTGCATTGGGTCTGCTTCATTGATTACGTTTTTTTAAAAATAATAATAAGATGCCTGGAGAAAAAAACAGAGGGAATTTGTTTTGGTGGTGGCAGAAGACACGGCTCTCCGATCACTTTCTTTCAGGGAATGGTGGGCTTCGATCCAACCCAAACAAATAATTAAACCCAAACCCAATAACATGAAAAGTGGGTCGACTCCCGTCCTTCCACGACCATCTAACGAATGTGGCTTCCCCGCCAGCCCAGCCCAGCCCTCCGCCGGGGAAGTCTCCCGCCCTCAAGGCAACCTCTCCTCCGAATATGGAGACATACAGCCAAAGGGCTGCGCAGCCCCGACAAAAGCAGCAAGCGAAACCCGCGCGGCGTCTCCCTAGCCCGAAGAAAAAGGAGCCAGAAACCCCCCAGCCCAAGACTAACCACGTTGCTCCCGACCTACCATCTTGCTCGATCGGCGACAAAAAGAACGAAGGAAGTTGGAAGCAACGTCTCGCGAGATTTCGCGTCCCTCTCCCGGAAAAGATCTTTTTCTCGCGATCTCTTGAGAGAGAGAGAGAGAGAGAGAGAGAGACGCTCCCGTTTCCGCTTCCGGTTTCTCCGAAATGGGGTTTTCTTTAAACCTGGTAGCATTTTAGGAATTTTGAAAGAATAAGGCTGTGTGAGATAAAAACAATTTTGTTTCGCTTTCGAGTAATCCTATCCCGTTTTCCTTCCTGTTTTTTTTTTAAATAACTTTTTATGGTGGGTTTGGTTGTTGACTGACTAAATAAAACACTAACGTTGGAAGGTGGAATAGAATAGAATAGAATAGAATAGAATAGAATTTTTATTGGCCAAGTGTCTTTTGGGGGACACACAAGAAATTTGTCTTGGTGCAAATACTCTCAGTATACATAAAAGAAAAGGTACATTCATTAAAAATCAAGAATCATAACGTACAATGATAGTCATAGGGTACAATCAACAATCAAATCATACTAGGAAACAGTCAAGTGGGAGGGGATGGGTAATAAGGAGGGATGAGAAGATTAACAGTAATACCGTGTTTCTTATAAAATAAGGCCGGGTCTTATATTTTTTTGAACCCCGAAAAAACGGCTAGGCCGTCTTTTGGGGGAGACTTAATTTCCCCCCCTTGCATCCTCGTCTAGAGCGCTCTGTGGGCAGCCTCACCACCAGCCGCTCCTAACAGGTGATCATGGCAGAGTGCAGAGAGCTCCCTACTCCCACCAAACACCTTTGCTGCAGACCCGAGACCTTCGGCGCCCGCCACTGTTGCTTTCCCTTCTGCCCATGCCGCCGCTGCGTTTGGAGCTGCTGCTTCCATGTTTGGAGCGCCACCGCCGTTTGGAGTGCCGCCACCATTTGGAGCACTGCCACGTTTGGAGCTGCCACTTCTGCGTTTGGAGCTGCCGGCGCGTTTGGAGTGCCGCCGCCGTTAGGAGCGGTGCCCCAAACGCGGAAGCGGCAGCTCCAAATGCAGCGGTGATGCTCCAAACAACGGCGGTGCTCCAAACATGGAAGCAGCAGCTCCAAACACAGAAGTGGCAGCTCCAAACACAGCAGCGGGCAGCTCCAAATGGCAGTGGCGCTCCAAATGTGGAAGTGGCAGGTCCAAATGCCGCGGCGGCATGGGCAAAAGGGAAACAACAGCAGCGGGTGCCGAAGGTCTTGGGTCTGCAGCAAAGGTGTTTGACGGGAGTAGGGAGCTCTCCGCGCTCCGCCATGATTGCCCATTAGGAGCAGCTGGGGATGAGGCATGGCTGCCCGCAGGGTGCTCCTAATGGCAAGTCCCCCCGCCCTTCCCCCCATTTCGCATGTTTTAAAATAGGCCTAAATTTGGGGGGAGGGGCTTAATTTAATTTTATGCCTAGAAAACATGCTGGGTCTTCCTATTGAGGGGGCGTATTGTTGGAGAAACACGGTAATAGTGTACACTTTGTAAATAGTTGAACAGTGTTGAGGGAATTATTTGTTTAGCAGAGTGATGGCTTTCGGGAGAAAACTGTTCTTGTGTCTAGTTGTTCTGGTGTGCAATGCTCTATAGCATCGTTTTGAGGGAAGGCGTTGAAACAGTTTATGTCCAGGATGTGAGGGGTCTGTAAATATTTTCACAGCCCTCTTTTTGACTCGTGCAGCATACAGGTCCTCGTTTGAAGGCAGGTTGGTAGTAATTGTTTTTTCTGCAGTCCTAATTATCCTCTGAAGTCTGTGTCTGTCCTGTTGGGTTGCAGAACCAAGCCAGTTTTACAGGTGCAGATGATAGACTCAGTAATTCCTCTGTAAAACTGTATCAGCAGCTCCTTGGGCAGTTTGAGCTTTCTGAGTTGGTGCAGAAAGAACATTCTTTGTTGTGCTTTTTTGATGATGTTTTTGATGTTAGGTGTCCATTTTAGGTCATGTGACATAGTAGAACCTAGAAATTTGAAGGTCTCTACTGTTGATACTGTGTTGTCTAGTATTATAAGAGGTGGTACTATAGGAGGGTTTCTTCTAAAGTCTACCACCATTTCTACGGTTTTGAGTGTGTTCAGTTCCAGATTGTTCCGGTTACACCATGAGGCAAGTTGTATAACCTCCTGTCTGTATCCAGATTCATTGTTGTCTCGAATGAGACCAATCACTGTTGTGTCATCAGCAAACTTCAGTATTTTAACAGATGGATCATTTGAGATGCAGTCATTGGTATATAGGGAGAAGTGGAGATAGCACACAGCCTTGGGGGGGGGGGACTGTGCTGATTGTACAGGTATCGGATGTGATTCCGCCTAGTTTCACCTGCTGCTTCCTGTCTGTTAGGAAGCTTATGATCCACTTACAAATGTGTTCAGGTACCGCTAGTTGGTTTAATTTACTTAAAAGAGTGTCTGGAATGATGGTATTGAATGCTGAACTGAAGCCTACAAAGAGGACCCTTGCGTAGGTATTTGGAGATTCAAGGTGTTGTAGGATGTAATGCAGAGCCATGTTAACAGCATCATCTGTTGATCTATTTGCTCGATATGCAAACTGCATGGGATCTAACAGCGGATCAGTGATGGTTTTGAGGTGGGACAGCACAAGCCTTTCAAAGATTTTCATAACTACAGATGTTAGAGCAACTGGTCTGTAGTCATTCAGTTCCTTGATGGAGGGCTTCTTTGGCACTGGGATGATAGTAGAGCGTTAGAAGCAAGAAGGAACACAGCACATCTCTAGTGGTCTATTGAAGATTCAGGTGAAGATGGGGGCCAATTGGTCAGCACAGACTTTTAAGCAAGAAGGAGTCATCTTGTCTGGCCCTGGTGCTTTTCCTGGCTTCTGTCTGTGTAATAGATCTTGCACTTCTTTTTCTATGATCACCAGAGGTTGTGAGCCCAATGGATTGGGGCCAGTTGTAGGAGGCTTCACTGTTGTTGGTGTGTTTGAGATGTGGGTTGTGGAGATAGGTGGCTGTAGTGCTGTTAAATTTCTTGGGGATAAATCGAGGTGAAAAGTTTGGCAGTGGGCATAATTTTAATTTGCTTTATTTATAAACAAGCGCTTCAAAGACGCAGTGTAAAAGCTCTTCTGCCCTGCTTTTCTTTCAACCCAAGGAATGCGATCCGCTTCTCAAAAGCTGCCTTTCTAAAGTAATCCGCCACTGCAATCGGACATTAATCGGACATCTCATGGGTAGCCCCTAATGCAAGGGGTCTGTAAATTTGGCAACTTTTAAGGCTTGCGGACTTTAACTCCCAGAATTCCCCAACGAGCATTGCTGGCTGGGGAATTCTGGGAGTTGAAGTCCACAAGTTTTAAAAGTTGCCAAGTTTGGAGAGTTCTGCCCCTAATATAATCCTTATTACTCTTCCACTATTTCTTGAATTTCTGACCCTTACGCATCCTTTAGAGCAGTGGTCGCCAACTGGTGGGCCGCAGCCCAATGGTGGTCCGTGAGAAAATTTTGGTGGTCCGCAGAGAAATGTCACCCCCCCCCCAAAAGCAATTGATCCAGGCTACGCGGGAACACAAGGCTTGCGTCGCCTGTATTGCGGGCAACACAAGTTAGTGAGGGGAGGGGGGAAAGGGTGGAGGGGGGAACTTGCCCCACTCACCCCATGCGCCTGGCCTGGCCTGGCCACCGGGCTGCTTCTTTCCGCTTCTTTCTTCTGCTTTTGGCTGCATGCAAGGAAAGCAGCAAAGTTTTTCTTTCTCTCCTCCAAACTTCACCAGAAATGGGTCTTTGGGGACCCTGCAAGGCATTATGCTCCAAGAGGCTGTGCCAGCAAAGACTCATTTCTGGAGGAGTTTGGGGGAGAGAAAGAAAGACTTCTGCTACTTTTCTTGCATGAAGCCAAAAGTCTCACTCTCACTCTCTCTCCCCGATAAGAGCTGGAAACGGTATCCTCTGATCCCAAATAAAGAATGATTGATCAGTAGGAAAACGGGGTGGGGGATTTTCCTGCAGACTTTTTTGGGGATTTTCCCACGGTCTCTGCCGGCAGAGACCCTCTGTCTCCCCCCCCCCCCCCCCCCCCGAGAACGGAGCTGAAAAGCAGGTTAGGAATATGGCTGCCTTGGAGGGGGTGTGGGGGTGAGGGACCTGTGTGTGTGTCTTTCTCTCCCACCAATGTCAGCAAGCCACCGTCCCATCAAAATTCATATTAGTGGTCCCCGAGATTTAAAATGATAAGCTTGGTGGTCCCTGAGGTCCAAAAGTTTGGCGACCCCTGCTTTAGAGGACAGTTAATGTGGGTTCCTCGGAAACGCTTAATCCAGGGGTCTTCAAACTTGACAGCTTTAAGACTTGTGGACTTCAACTCCCAGAATTCCTCCTCCAGTCATGTTAGCTCAGGAATTCTGGGAGTGGAAGTCCACAAGTCTTAAACTTGCCAAGTTTGAAGACCTTTGGTTTAATCCATAGTATGATTTCTCTTAAGAGACCTCTTAAGGCAGTGATCCCCAACCTTTTTTACGCCGCGGCCCGGTATCCCCAACCTTTTTTATGGCGCGGCCCGGTACCGACACCAGCTGGGCGCCACCATCTTGTTTTGATGAAAAAGTGCTTCCGGTGAGCTTTCTACCCGGAAAAGCTCACCGGAAGCACTTTTTCATCAAAACAAGATGGCGGCGCCCAGCAAGCCAGCGGCCCGGTAGGACTTGTTCCACAGACCGGTACCGGTCCGCGGACTGGTGGTTGGGGACCCCTGTCTTAAGGGACCTACATTAAATAAATTTAATCCTGTTCCCTGTGTGACTTTTAAAAATATCAATTAAATCACTGCCCTCACCGGAGCGTCAAACAGCAAAAATCCGACTACAGGAATTTACATTGATTGAACTCTCGCTATGCCCCATTTCCCCTTCTGTCCATGTGCGTGATATATAATGGCAAGTCCTAGCTGGATCATTTGGGGCTTGCAGAGGCCAGTCAAGGGGCAAAGTTCAGAGCAGGTTTTGACAGTGCTCCTCTTGTACAGCCTCCTGTACAAGGCTTTAAAATGATTATCACTTCTCTGTAGAACTCGCCTTTCTAAATGTTGACAACTTTAAGATATGTAACTTTTT